GGGCGTCTATTCCTCTAACCTGTGACGCTTTCAGACCCGGAAGAGGACGCGCGCACTGTAAGTACGGTAAAGAGGCCGCCTTTTGGTTGGCCCATCTCCGCGTGCAGCCTGCCCGGTATAGCCTATCGTGCACGCGTGTCTCTTCCTCACGGTGTCTTATATATGATGATGTGACACTGGGACCGAGGGCGCGCGCACCAACACTGCTACCGCTATATCGCCACCACCAATGTGAGAGCGCGTGTGTTTGTTCTCTCCTTCCCCATCCGTCTCTCGCTCTCTCTCTCTCTCTCTAAATGCCATCGGCGCTTCCATCTCTATGTCACTCTTTCTTCACATCTGCAGAGAGGAGAAAAAAAAGAGATCCTCCACTCGTCCGGCGTCCACTACAGGTCAGTAAATATTTAGATTTGCTCTGCATCCCACGCGCTCCGTCCAATCGGCTGCCTCTTTCCTCTTTTCCTTTCTGCATACGAGGGCTCGCCGCTCCTCTATGAATGATGGGAAACTTTTGTGACCGGGTTGGTGCACGCTGTAGCTTACGTGGGAAATAAATGAAGTAAAAACGAAAATAAAATAATTTGCAGAGAGGAAACTGCCGGTTATTTCCGCGCACTTGCTGAGGCCAAAGAATGAAAATAAAAGGGGGGGCTGTGGTGTTGATAATACTGGCAACAATATCCACAACGTCCGCCATTGTTGCCTTTTTAACGTCGCTGCTTGCTGTTTGACCTGAACGTGCCCGTTATTTCTTTCACCTGCAACGAGTCACCGTTTCCACCTCCAACGCGCATGTCATGTTAGGATTGTATTGAACTGTATTTTCCTCGAATATTTAGCTAACCCAACTCAGACCCCCCCACCGCACCGGAATATAGCGCAGATGAGGGTTTTTAACGACCTATTACACCGCTCAGGTTGGCGGAATGCAGGCAGAATCCCACACGAGCCGTGAAATTGATCTGATTTACCTTGCCGGCGGGTCATAATAAAAAAAATTAAAAAAGCAGTCGGGTTTGCTGAGGCTGCGTTTCCTTCCCGTTTATTAGTTTCCTCCATCTCGTCTTTGGTCGATACGTCTTGATATGGCGGAGAGAGAGAGAGAGAGAGAGAGAGAGAGAGAGAGAGAGAGAGAG